CTGACTGTATAGAGCTTCTCCATCTTTGGCTGCAAAGAATATAATCAATCTGATTTTGGTGTTGACCATCTGGTGATGTCCATGTGTAGAGTCTTCTCTTGTGTTGTTGGAAGAGGGTGTTTGCTATGACCAGTGCGTTCTCTTGGCAAAACTTTTATTAGCCTCTGCCCTGCTTCATTCTGTACTCCCAAGGCCACATTTGCCTGTTACTCCAGGTATTTCTTGACTTACTACTTTTGCATTTCGGTCCCCTATAATGAAAAGGACATCTTTTTGGGGTGTTAGTTCCAGAAGGTCTTGTAGGTCTTCATAGAACTGTTCGACTTCAGCTTCGGCATTAGTGGTCAGGGCATAGACTTGGATTACTGTGATATTGAATGGTTTGCCTTGGAAATGAAGAGAGATCATTCTGTCGTTTTTGAGACTACATCCAAGTACTGCATTTCGGACTCTTTTGTTGACTATGATGCCTACTCCATTTCTTCTAAGGGATTCCTGCCCACAGTGTAGATATAATGGTCATCTGTTAAATTCACCCATTCCAGTCCATTTTTAGTTCGCTGATTCCTAAAATGTCGATGTTCACTCTTGCCATCTCCTGTTTGACCACTTCCAATTTGCCTCGATTCATGGACCTAGCATTCCAGGTTCCTATGCAATATTGCTCTTTACAGCATCGGACCTTGCTTCTATCACCAGTCACATCCACAACTGGGTGGTGTTTTTGCTTTGGCTCCATCCCTTCATTCTTTATGGAGTTATTTCTCCACTGATCTCCAGTAGCATACTGTGCACCTACCGACCTGGGGAGTTCATCTTTCAGTGTCCTATCTTTTTGCCATTTCATACTGTGTATGGTGTTCTCAAGGCAAGAATACTGAAGTGGTTTGCCATTCCCTTCTCCAGTAAAGACCCAAGAGGCATTGTTAATGTATACACAGAACAATGGACTTAGAGTCAAAAGATGTGGGTCTGAATTCCCATGGTCCTGAATTGAACGAGAACCCACAGGAAGCCAATTACTTGGGCAAGGGGTCTGTATCTCTGTATCCCCAGTGACATGTCTTTTCCATGTACCTGACAGATAGATACTACATAGTAGCACTCAGGAAAGGATCTAGAAAGTGAGGTTTTCGTAGAGGAGAGGCCAGAGGGAGCAAGTCTTAGAGACTGAAGGCCCACTATGAGTAGTGAGGGAAACACAGAGACAAGATAAACCATTTTGAGCCTGGGTCTGAAAACGTACTTGCTTCTGCTTATAGGTCAAAGCCAAAAATAAACTTAAGCCTGGCTTCTCTGTAGCCATGCCCATAGCTTTACAGCAGACTTTATAAATCTGTAGTTACTTTGATCTCAAGGGATTGAAGCTAGTTGATTTACTTCAACAAATGGACCCTACCACATGGCTTCTGGAGAAGGAAACTTTGTGGATGGTCGTGGGGTCAATTGAGAATACAGGCTCTGCTCAAGTGATCAGAGTGTGTGTGTCCCTTAGAATGGGGCGAATGGAAATCTTCAATGGGATGTCCTGAGAAGATCGAAGCATCAACCCTGTGATTTCTGCCAAGGTGCATAAGCTCAGTGGACCCATGAGGATATGTAAGACAAACTCCGGTAAGGGGATTTGTGTAAAACAACGGGTCTGGGGCTTCCCTGGTGGTCCAGTGGTAAAGCATCCGCCTGCCAATGCAGGAGACACTGGTTCGATCCCTGGTCCTGATCCAGGAAGACCCCCCATGTTGTGGAGCAACTACGCCCTTGGCATCACAGCCGCTCAGCCTGGGCTCTCGAGCCTGGGAGCCACGACTACTCAGGCCCGCGGTCCCCAGAGCCTGTGCTCCAGAACAAGAGAAGCCAAGGAAAGCAGAAGCCAGCGCGCCTCAGAGCAGCCCCCTCTCTCTACATGAGAGAAGCCTTTGCAGCAAAGACCCGGCACAGTGAGTAAACTTTTTATGAAAACTGGTCTGCAATCTCCAAAAGTGCCGAGGCAGTGGAAGGCAAAGAAAAACCCTGGAGTGCTCCAGGCCAAAGGAGACTGAAGAGACATGACAGCTAAAGGCAGCAGACGGTTTTGAACTGGATCTTTTTGTGATAAAGGAAGTTACCGGGTCAGCTGTCAGAACCTCAGTGGGGTCTGAGGGTTCCACGGTGGTGATGTGTCCATGTTCGTTTCTTGCTTGTGATGATTGTCCTGTGGTTACAGTGGAGAATGCCTTTGTTATCTGGACATACTACAGTATTTAGGGAGTGATAGGACATCACATAGGCAACTTATTCTCAAATGATGAAAAGAAAAAAAATGTTTCATCCCTGAATATTCACTGGAAGGACTGGTGCTGAAGCTCCAATATTTTGGCAACCTGATGGGAAGAGCCAACTCAAAGGAAAAGATGGGAAAGATGGAGGGCAGGAGAAGGGGGTGACAGAGGACGAGATGGTTGGATGCCATCATCGACTCAATGGACATGAGTCTGAGCAAAATCCAGGAGACAGTGAAGGACAGGGAAGCCTGGCGTGCTGCAGTCCATGGGGTCGCGAAGAGTCGGACATGACTGACTGACTGAACAACAATGCACTTAGAATTTTTTTTAAACTGAAGGTTCTGGAGTAAAACTTCAAGGACCCAAGTAATATCCACTTTGCTTCTTCTGAGACCTGGGCAGGTTGTTCCACTTCTCTACACCTCAGTTTCCCATCTCTATTGGCATATTATTTTTGTTTGGCTGGATAGCAAGTGGGATCTTAGTTCCTTGACCAGGGATCGAACCCGCACCCACTGCAGTGTAAGCACAAGGTCTTCATCACCGGACAACCAGGGAAGTCCCTCCCATCTCTAAAATAGGGATAAAGCTAGTGCTACTCTGAAAGGCGGTCCCAGGGCCAAAATAAAAAGCGGGAGAGAGCTAATTAATGAATGTAAAAAGCTCCTGGCTCAGTCAGATTTACTTTGATTTAGAAGACTCAGTCTCGTATCTCTGCATGGAAGGTCTCGAGCCTCAAGGACGAGTGGTTTTTCCAGATTTTTGGACGCAAGTGCACAGCCTTCGGGAAAGCCAGGAAGGAGGTGGCCAGAGGTTTAGTTTCAGGATTCTCAGACCCAGCCTGGTCTCCCAGAATTCCCCAGATAAAACCCTTCATTTGGGACCCAGGGGCATCCAGGCCCATGTCTAGATTCCCAATGAGGTGCTCAGACATGTAGCCTTCCCAGGAGGGGTTGCCAGGCAACAAGGTTCCTCAGCAGAAGCCTGGCAGGGCTCTTGGACACTCATTGGTCCATTTCTTCCCTTTTCACAGAAGAGGCGCAGAGGGGGCCACGCCGCAGGGGAGGGACCAGGGTCACACAGGGCGTTTAAGGGCGGTGCCGCACGAGTGCTTTCTCTGCCACACCGTGCCTGCCCCAGCCCACATCAATTCTGTCCACTTACTTGAGCAAATAACGTACAGAGTGACTCCTGTCTGCTCAGGGTCACAAAGGAAAAAAGGTCTGCATATGTCATCTCTTCAATTCCTCAACCTTCCACGGTAGTTTCTGTAATATTTCCATGGGGTCCACACTCCTAATCACCCGCTTAGGCCCCTCACACCATACAGCACTGTTTCTATATTGCCTTCAAAAGATTTGGTGGGGAAAAAAATCCTGAGTTAAAACTTTAAATAGGTTGGTACCATAGAAACAATCTGTAAGCGGCATTTCAAAGATGATATATTTAAAGTCTAGCACAAGTACTTTTTCTGGGACACTGACATTCTACAGTGGCACATGGCTGAGTCTTAATTTGAGTTCTGTCACAAAAATATATATCATGTCCTGAGCTTGGCAGAACCGAAGACCCAGATGAGCTGAGACTAGCAAATATGGTTTCCTTTTAAGTGTTTCTTACAGATGGTTTCTCCCCTACTTATCTTTCAAGAATCTGTGAGCACCGTCCTTAGATAGCTGAGAGGAGGTTCTGCAGGCCTGGGGCGCTCCTGTATAGCAAGCATCCTCAAAAGGTGATACGTGTGAGGTGAGGGGAAAAGACACTGCACCGGCTCCAGTTACGTCCCTCAACTGTGTGGCACCTGCTGGCGGAGGTAGGGGGTGGAGGCAGCTGTCATGTAAGAAGTCCGGCTATTCTGAGACCGCCATGCCCCAAGGAAGTCCAGGCTGGCACGTGGAGAGGGTATCTGATAGTGACGCCTGCAGATGATCCAAACACCTGAGCCCAGGCACCAGACTCGCGAATGCAGGAGCCTAGACCATCTGACTAGGGCGACAAGCCCCAGCCACCATCGGGCTATGAGGACCACTGGGGTCGCTCTAGTTGACTCCCAGAACTGAGAGGTTGCACAAGGCATGGTTTTAAGTCCCGAAGCCGGGGGCCGGTTAGTCACACAGGGATGGATGGGTGGAACCATGAACGAGCCTGGATGCCTTCCGGGATGCTGACACTCCACAACGGAACATGGCTTAGTCTTATTTTCAGTTTTTGTCACAACATGTATCATGGCCTGAGCTTGCAGGAACGGAAGATCCAGACCAGCCTGAGATGAGCAAAAAGGAGCTGAGATCACGCCCCTCGAGGGTCATGAGCTTCCTGTGTCCACGACTCCAGCAGCAGCCCATTCCACTGTGGTCTCAAGACCAGGAAGACCAGAAGCTTCCCTCTGTGAGCTCATCACTCACCAGGCAACACACCCACCTCACCCATCAGGCCCTCCCAATAAACCCAGGAAGTTCTAACTTCCCCCTTTTACAGATGAAGAAACAGGGGCACAAGCCACATAGCTGGTACTCTGGCCTGACTCCAAAAAGCCATCCCCCACGCCACCGTGAGTCACTGCCTTCCTGAAACCTCACTACTGTCATGGGAATGAAGGCAAGGGGGTGTGGGTAAAATATGTAACCCTTAAAGATAAGAAAGTATTCTAAGCCTGGCTGATCCCTAAGCATTTGGGGGGGATTGTCGAACCAAGGACCAACTCAGCAGATTAGGAGAGAGTTCCAACGCTGCAGATGACAAAGGACAGGACCAGCTCCTGGGAGCTCGCCTCCTGGCATGTCCTTTACTAAAAGGAGTGTCTTTGGATACCTAGGACCGCAACCCACAGCAGGCTGGAGAGTCTATGTTAATCCTGTGATCTATGCGGGGAGGGTCTTGGGTCATGCTGTTATCATTTGGCCTCTGGAAGGGCTGGAGACAAGAGTAACTAAGGTCAGTTGCCCCGTACCTTCGTGACTGACACTCAGTAAAAAACAGCTGGCCACCGAGGTTCGGGTGAGCCTTCCTGGCCGGCAACACTTCACACATGCCATCACACATCCTTGGAGGGAGAAGTGAGCACGTTTGTTATGACTCCACTAGGAGACGGCATCTGAGGGCTTGTGTGTAGGCTCTCCTGGACTCTGACCTCTGCGCCTTTTCCCCCTTCGCTGATTTTAGTTTTGAGTATCTATTTGGCCATGTCAGGCCTTCATTGCAGAGTGTAGGATCTTTCATTGCAATGCCAGGCTCTAGAGCATGCAGGCTCAGTAGCTGCTCTGAGATATGTGGGATCTTGAGTTCCAAGGGATCCAACCTGCCTTCCCTGCATCCCAAGGTGGATTCCTAACCTCTGGACCACCAGGGAAGTCCCTCCCTTACTGACTTTAATCCACTTCCTTTCACTGTAATAAACCATTAACTGTGAGCCGACCAGGTTTGCTGAATTCCCTAAGTCCTTCTAGCCAACTGCGGAACCCGAGGGTGGCCCTGGGACCCCCGACACGGGAGTCCAGCTGTGCCCTTGCGTGGACCTATTCTCCAGCTTTTGCTCTTCATCAATGCACCTGACAAAACTCAGAGGGGAAAAAAAAATCTATTCACTCTGTAAAGTAAGTGTTAAAGTCGCTCAGTCATGTCCGACTCTTTGCGACCCCATGGAGGTAGCCCACCAGGCCCCTCTGTCCACGGGATTTCCCAGGCAAGAATACTCGAGTGGGTCTCCATTCCCTCTCCATGGGACCTTCACAACCCAGGGATGGAGGGTGGGTCCCCTGCATTGGCAGGCGGATTCCTGACCATCAGAGCAACCAGGGAAGTTCTCTGTAAGTAGGGCACAGATAGATGAGTCCTTGTTCAGTTTATTCAAATAATATATATATATAATTTTTCTTCCTCTGTGAAACTGAGTAGAACCAAGGAAGGATAAAAGAAAGCCTCATATATTAAAATTCTTAAATAGATTCTTTGACTTCAAAAGTAAGGGTCGACAGGAGAGGCGCAGGCGGCAGGCCCTGACCCAGACACATGCCGCCACAGCATTCCTGCGAATCGAGGAGGATGGCAAGTCCATTTCTTAAAAAACAAAAGAAGTTCTCGAGGGGAAGAATATAAAATAACCTAAGTTCCAAAAGCAGGACTACTTTCACACTCTTGGCTCCCTACCCCGCACTGTCCTAAGACAGAGCATCTCAAGGTTAAGTTTCCAATGACTCAGCCTTTGCAAACACATATGCAAAGGCGTTTCTCGTGAGCAGTCCTGTTTTGGTGGTGAATAGCAAGCAATATGCTTGGATTAGAGGTCCGATTTCCACTCGAATGCAGTTTCTCCTCCTCTGGCAAACAAAGCCATGTGCCGAGATCTGAAAGGGGAAAAACAAAAAAACGGGCATTAGGCCCCAGAGTCACGATTCCAAAATAGCTCTTGTATATTTATACGTGTGACGGCTGGACGGATGGTCTGAGTGTACTCACATAAGCCTGTGGGATTTTCCAATAGCATCCCAGATGGCCGGAGAGAATCTACATTTAAAAATGCCTCCTGGGTTCTTATGCACAGCTCAGCCTGCTGCCTCTCGACCTCGAAGATACACTTTCCTGACTTAATGAAGAGCAAATGGCAGCAATGAAAAATGCCAGTGAATTTCTGGAGGCGAGGGAGGATGCATGTATTTAAGGGCAACTCCCGGGAATTAGCTAAAGCACCCTGTCTCTGGTACATCGTCTGAACAGTAAAGCGGGGAACGGATCTGGCTTTTATCAAAGGTTCAGGATTCTACTAAGGAACCTGCAGAAAGAGAGCGACGGAAATCAAGTTAGGGAGAAACACGGAAAAGGCTGCTTTCAACTCAAGGCTTCTTAGGAATGAAGCGCAAGTCCTGGATTTAGCACAGCTCAAAATGGGAACCCTGGTAACGGTGGTGAGTTAAGTGTCTCTCCAGCCTTGGGGGCTGGTGCAAAGGGGACTTCAAGAAAAACAAAAAAATATGCTGATTATTTAAAAAGAAGTCAAGGACTAAAAATAGGCTTGAGGCTAGAAGCTCTGTTACAGTTTAAAAGCAGCAGCAGAATAAATACCCAGGCAACTTGGTCCTGGCCTCCGAGACCCCCAGGTCTCCTTGAGCCTGATCAGAGAAGCTGAGCCATGTAAGGAAGCGAGTTCAGTGGCTGGAGCCTTAGCGCCAGAGCCTAGCATTCCCACCCAGGGCCAGCTCACGTCAACCCACAACCACCCTTGGAAGCGGAACAGGGGCGAATCCCCATTCTCCAGATAGGGAAAACAGAGGCCAGCAGGAGTCCAACCTGGAGTGAGTTCTGAGATAGTTAGATATTTAGATAAATATCTTCCCAAGATCAGAACCTGTTTTCCTGCCCCTCCGGGCAAAACACGGATGGATAAAAATGCACTTAAAATCATCTGTTAAAAACAAACTCTGAAAAAAAAAAAAAACACAAACTCTGGGGGAGATGACTTTTGGTGGCTGCGTGACCTTGAGCAAGTCAAAGCCCTTCTCTGGGCTTTGGTTTTTCTCCTCCTTAAAATCTGGGACGTGCCTCCCAGGGATGCTGAGGGTAAGAAGAGTAATGGCCAGGACCACTTGGGCCAGTGCAATGGGCGCTATTGTTAGACCAGAGCCGCCGGTGCCTGTTATTAGAACCTTAGTTGCTTTGGGCCAACCTGATGCTGTTTATAGAAGCCAGGCCTGTCCAAAACGTCTAGAGTCCCCCCATCACACTGGTACTCTGTACCCCCCTGCCCAACGACAGAGCAACTTGTTTCTTTTTGGTTCACCATTGATGCCTACCCCCACTCAGATCCAGAGCTAGAAGACCAAGCCTTGATTCTATAAAAAGCTCCCCAAGCCATCACCATGGAAACCTAGAGGGCTGGGTGAGTCCACCTTGGTAGCCTCTCCCCAACCCAGGGAGGCTCAGGAAGGAACAAGCTTTTCAGAAAAGTGGCTCCTGGTCTCAGAAGTGGTGGGAGGCCCCAGGGAAGTCCAGAGGCCTACCTGGAAATCACGAGCTTCCTAGATGGGAGGAGGTGCTGTTCGGGTTCACCTGGAGGAAGACAACACACAGGAAGGTCACGGCCAGCTGGGGGTGCCAGGGGCTCACAACACACTCCCTCACTGAGCTACTGTCAACAGGACTGGTTGTTCGGCTGCTCAGTCGTGTCCAACTCTGTGACCCCATGGGCCGAAGCATGCCAGGCTCCCCTGTCCTTCACCATCTCCAGGAGGTGGCTCAAACTCATGTCCATTTAGCTGGTGATGCCAACCAACCATCTCGTTTTCTGTCGTCCCCTTCTCCTCCTGCCTTCAGTCTCCCCCAGCATCAGAGAACATGACATGACAGACCCCCTCCTATTCCCCTGCGCCTCACATTCTAGTCTGTAAGGAATTATTAAGTCCAGGCGACACAGTGGGCTGATATGAGTGACGGGTGCTGAGGCACCTTCAAAGTGATTCACAGAGGCCCCTGCAGAGGGATGACGTTTAAGGTGTAGTGTAATGAAAGATCTGGGCTTCCCAGGCAGGGCTAGTGGTAAAGAACATGCAAGCAGGCATGAGACACGGGTTCCATCCCTGGGTGGGGAAGACACCTGGAGGAGGGCACCGCAACCCACTGCAGTATTCTTGCCTGGAGAATCCCACGGACAGGGGAGCCTGGTGGGCAAGGAGCAGGACATGACTAAAGCGAGTTAGCATGTGTGTACATAATAACAAACTTACATCTGATCTTTACCCTGGTCCAGGCAGCAAGCCCTAGAACCCTTGCAATCTCCCTAGTGATAAAAAGCATCTTTTGTCTGCAAATGAGACGCCTGGGTGGCTGGGGCCCCTGAGCTTCAGGATGGGGGCTTGGTCACCCATGATTAAGGGGCTGGAAATTTCAGTGCCCACCACCCCTACCCAAACCTGTGGAGAGCAATGAATAACAGTCAACGATTTAATCAACCATGCCTACTTAATGCATGCATGTTCAGTTGTGTCCGACTCTTTGCAACCTCATAGACTGTAGCCCTCCAAGCTCCTTTGTCCATGGAATTTTTCAGGCAAGAATACTGGAGTGGGTTGCCATTTCCTCCGCCAGGGGAATCTTTCCAACCCAGGGATCGAACCCGCATCTCCCATGTCTCCTGCACTGGCAGGTAGATTTCTTATCCCTGCCCCACCTGGGGAGCCCACGTGCCTACTGCTTAATTAAACCTCCAGAAACATCCCTAAAGGATGAGGCTCAGAGAGCTTCAGGGCTGGTGGACAAGTGACAGAAAGGTGGGTCGTCTGGGCATCTGAAGAGGGGGCACTCCTGTGAGGCGAGGGCCCTTAACCTGGGGGGTTAGAGGCTATGTCTGGAAATCAGTGTCAGAATTGAACCGTGGTGTGCAACAGCTAGCTGGCATCTGGACAGTCAGGTTGTTGGTGTTGGAAATCACCTGGTGAGCAAAGATCTAGATGATGAAACGAGGCCAGCCATGCACAGGCGTGGGCAGCAGAGCATTTCTGGCAGAGGGAACAGCGAAGCCCTCGGAAGGAGAGAGTGTGTGGACTGCAGGAACTGTGGACTCATTTTCTGCAGGAGCTGCAATTCTGATGTGTGAGCTCCTTTGGTTTGCTGGCTTCCTATTTTCCCATTTTTTCTGTTGCACAAGGACATTCTGGATGGCTACATAGTATCCTAGTGTTCGGTATAATGCACACACCACACTGTTGCCTAAGATTGTTTCCAAGCGTTACAGTATCCTGCATGAGGTCATGTGTGTATGGGTGCAGGGACCCTGGAGGAGAAGAGGGCAGGAAGTAGGAATCTGATATAACTCGTGGGGTAGCTCTCCTGAGGGCGGGACTGCTCATGATGACAAAGCATATGCCATCCCTTCATTTTTGGTCCTAATAGAGCAAAAATGGTCCCACACAGTGCAAGAGGGTGTAAACTGGTCCAGCCCTTTTGTAAGACAATTTCAGCCTTGTGGTTCAAGAGTCTTAAAAGGACCCTTCCAGGGTCCTTAACCCTGGCAGTCCAGTGGCTAAGACTTCTCCCTCCAATGGTGCAGGTTTCATCACTGGTTGAGGAGCTAAGACCCAATGCCTTGCAGCCAAAAAAACCCTAACCATAAAAGAGAAGCAACATTGTAACAAAATTCAATAAAGACTCTAAAGACGGTCCACCCATTCCACTCCCTAAAAATGTATTCGAAGGCAATGAGTCCATAGAGCCCTGCACCACTCACCCTACAGGAGAGGCGAAACCAGGAGGACAGGTGCATGACACCATTCAAAATACTGCAAGAATTACAAACCATCTCAGGGCAACAGTTACGCAATTGGTGGCAGAGAATGCATTCCAGAGGTAACGATGGAGTCACCCAAAACGGCCACAGTGAAAACCCCAGGATGGAAAAACACTAAGACAGCAAAACAAAGCAGCTCATCCCATGCAACTGCAAGGAATACAAAAACGAATATCCAGGTGGGCCAAAAAAAACCCACTATATGTAAAAACAGAAAGAGTTCAGATTGTGGTTAATTCCCCTCAGCCCACTTCTGTGTGTTGTTCTTGTTACATCTTCTTTGGGTTAAAACAAATAACAAATTAGTACTGACTAATTCTGGCAACATTTCTTTTCATCACAGTGGCATGAGATGGCTTTCTGGTTCCCATGCAGGGAGCATTGGACTCAACGCCAGAGGGTCAACATGTGCGGGGTCCCGGGCAGTGAGAATGTGTGAGTTTGATAAGTGAAGTAGAAATTGGTACAGGGTGTTTCACCTTTTATTGGCCAACACACACATACACACACACTAACTAAAACTACTGATTTTGGCATCAGGCAATTCATTAAAGAAAGGAGCACTTTCGGGATTTGCCTGGCATTCTCAGGGTTAACACTCTGCCTCTCACTGCAGAGAGCTCAGGTTAGATCCCTGGTCTGGGCACTAAGATCTCACACGTGTTGGCACAACCAAGAATCAATTAATTAAAAAAAAAATTTTTTTTTTAAAGGAACACCTGAGCACCAAAAGGAGACTGGCTTAACGTCAGTCCCAGGAGTGGTTTTTTTCTGACAAGGTCCAGGGACAGACTCCCACGGACACATGCAGGATGCAGGGAAGGCCAGGTGTGGGGGACGCGTGTGGGGACACAGGACGTGTCACGTCCACATCTGCACACACACCTGCATCATGGGACTCTCGTTTTGGGGCAGACTGATGAAATTTTTGCTCTGGGTTGTGGCTGTGTTTGGGAAAGGCCACTTAAAAATTTAGCCGAATTTAAGACTGGAGGCATTAAGTTTGACAGAAAGTCCGCACCAAATCCCTTTAGCTGCGTTCAGGCCAGGGGGCAAGGGGAAGGACGGGGCTCGGGGAGAAGGGCTGCTGAGATGTGGCCGGGGTGGGTCAGACACTCAAGGGCCCCTGAGCAGTTCCCCACCTCCACCCAGCCTTCTGGGGGGAACACCGCGGGCCGTCCTAGAGCAGTGGAGTGTCTGAGCACACAGCGCAAACAGGTGGGACTGCAGAATCCCCCTGGGCTTTCTGACCTGAAAATAGCCTTTCAGATTGGCTGGTGTTTTATAGTCCCCTTTCAAGACCTAGGAAAGAGAAAAAAAAATCACTACTGTTAGAAATGATCCAAAAATAAAATTGAGCCCATCACTTCCACACCCACCCACCTACCCACCCACCCTCCCAACTAACCATTTTTCCATCCTTCCAGCCTCCCACCCATCCATCTATTCATCCATCCACCCATGCTCTCATGCATATACCTATCCATCCACCTGCCCTCCACCCCCATCCACACCCCCATCCACCTACCCACCCATCCAACCATCTATCCACCAAATGTACCCATCCACTTATTCACCTGCTCATCTATGCACCACTCCAACAAACATTTATTAATAGGCTCCTCCTAAACGTTTATTAGCAATGCTCTGGACATTACTCTAAGCTCTGGGGTTGGCGGTGGGGCTGTGCAGGGGTTTTACACCATTAACAAGGCAAATTAAAATCCCCATTCTCCTGCAGCTTCCATTCTAGACGAGGGAGGGCCAGAGAATCCACAAGTAACAACAGAACACAAGGAAAGGACAGATCAAACCATGGGAAGCACAACATGGACGGTAGGAGGTGTGACTGGGAGTGCCCAGGGGGCTTCTCCTGAGGGAGTGGTCCAACAGGGCCTCTTGGGACAGAGGGCCTCGGAGCTGAGCCCCACGTTCCAAGGAAACCCTCCCAGGCTAAGCTCTGAAGGAGAAGCTTTCAGATGGAGGGCACAGCAGGGCAGAGGCCCTGCAGTGGGAACCAGAAAGTTCCAGGCCTTCCCACTGTTCTCCGGAAATACAAGGCACTGGAGAGACCAGCGCTATAAAATAGAACAGAATGTGAACAGCCCTGTAATTTTAAATATTTCAGTAGCCACAGTAGTTAAATGAAAAAAAAAAAGTGAAATTAATTCCAGTGGGTTTTTTTGGGGGGAGGGGCGGTGGTGGCAGGGGCCAGGGTTTGTGGGATCGCAATCCCCTGACCAGGAATTGAAGTCACACCCTCAGCAGGGACAGTGTAAATTCCTAACCTCTGGACTGCCAGGGAATTCCCTCTAGTGGTGTTTCTGTTTTTTTTTTAACTTAACCGGATACATAAAAAAATTAATACTTCAACATGTAATTGATGAGGTTCAGGTTAGGTCTCCCCCAAATGCACCACTCTGGCATATTGACTGTTTTCAATTAAAATTATTTAAGAAACAGTCATGCTGGAGAAGACTCTTCAGAGTCCCTAGGACTGCAAGGAGATGAAACCAGTCAACCCTAGAGGAAATCAACCCTGAATATTCATTGGAAGGACTGATGCTGAAGCTCCAATACTTTGGCCGCCTGGTGCGAAGAGCTGACTCATTGGAAAATAATCCGACGCCGGGAAAGACTGAAGGCAGGAGGATGAGATGGTTGGATGGCATCACTGATTCAACAGACATGAGTTTGAGCAAGCTCTAGGAGACAGTGAAGGAGAGGGAAGCCTGGCGTGCTGCGGTCCATGGGGTTGCAAAGAGCCAGACACGACTAAGTGACTAAATGGCAACAACAGTGCCAGAAGGACACTCTGACCCTCCTCTGAGCCCCTGGGAGCAGAAAATAAATCTGTCAAGTGAAAGATGCCCTCCTATTCCCAGGAGGTACAGAGACATCTTTATCACCAGACAAAGAGAATCTGGGGCCCAGAAGGCTGTGTGAACAAACCTTGTTTCTTCTTCGCTAACTTACTCCTCCAAGCCCAAGTGTCTCTGCCTTGTCAGTTCTCCACAAATGTATTGTTTCTTTGCCTACAAGGGCTGAAGGACGCCTGCTATGGCCCCTTCCTGTGAATCTCCTATTTTTATGAGCCCTTGTATGTATGATATTAAATTTGTTTTCTCTCCTATTAATCTGTCTTATGTCAATTTCATTATCAGGTCAGTCAAAGAGCCTAGAAGAGAAAAAGGGAAAAGTTTTCCTCCCCTACATAGTCAATATAAAAATGATTAGTGAGAAATTCTACATGCTTTGGTTGGGGGGGGTGGTATGAGTCCATCTAGTCAAGGCTATGGTTTTCCCAGTGGTCATGTATGGCTGTGAGAGTTGGACTATAAAGAAAGCTGAGCGCCGAAGAATTGGTGGTTTTGAACTGTGCTGTTGGAGAAGACTCTTGAGAGTCCCGTGGACTGCAAGGAGATCCAACCAGTCCATACTAAACGAGATCAGTCCTGGGTGTTCATTGGAAGGACTGATGCTAAAGCTGAAACTCCAGTACTTTGGCCATCTGATGCAAAGAACCAACTCACTGGAAAAGACCCTGATGCTGGGAAAGATTGAAGGTGGGAGGAAAAGGGGGGTGACAGAGGATGAGATGGTTGGACGGCATCACCAACTTGATGGACGTGAGTTTGAGCAAGGTTTGGGAGCTGGTGATGGACAGGGAGGCCTGGTGTACTACAGTCCATGGGGTTGCAAAGAGTTGGACACGACTGAGCAACTGAACTGAACTGATAAGGACCTCAAATCCAGTGTGAGTTTCACACTTACATAGCACCCTTTCCATATGGACTCGTCACATTTCAGTGGCCACACAAGCCTAGTGGCTGTAATGGACAGCACAGATATAGATGGTCTCATTAGCACTGGGGTCCTTTCAGAACTGAGTGTACTGCCAGGACCCAGGACAGGAACATTTTGTGCCTTCAGTATCCACACACACACAGCTTTCAACGATGGGATTTATCTTCACAGCCACAGTAAAACCACTGTAAAGACTAAATGAGGTGTCTGGCACTGGTCACGACTCATGAAACCCCAAGGAGTAATGGGCTTCCCTGGTGGCTCAGCTGGTAAAGAATCTGCCTGCAATGCAGGAGACCCGGGTTCAATCCCTGGGTTGGGAAGATGCCCTGGAGAAGGGCATGGCAACCCACTCCAGTATTCTTGCCTGGAGAATTCCATGGACAGAGGAGCCTGGTGGGCTACAGGCCATAGGGTTGCCAAGAGTTGGAAACGACTGAGCTACGAACACATTCAACATGTTCAGGGAATAAACCTCTTTGTGTTTTTGTTTTTTGCCATCTTGATTATATTTTAAAAGTACACAAGGTCACAAAACTAGAGCAAGGTTTTGGCTTTTTAACTTTTTTTAACCTAATTCTATTCTTACATAAAAATCTGCACCATTGGATATGTAAGCCAGAAACTTGAAATAAAAAAAAAAAATTTGAAACTGACCCATTCAACTCTCTACTTGCATATGTGAAGGGTCAAAATATTTCTTCTTAGAAGCACAAGTGTATCTGTTACAAAAATTGACATTACAAATGAGGTGAAGTGAATCAGTGAATTGTGGTTTTCGTAACACTTGTGTCATTAACTAAGTTTGTAGAAAACAAGAGTTCTTCTTTGGGGAGTCAACCTCTTTGGAAGAGATCTAGAGAACCTTCTCTATTTTAAACACACAAACAGCAGAGCTCCAAAGAGCTGATCTTAACCATCATTGCTCATCAACATCTTTTTATACAACATCCAAGGTCAGGTTTGACTCTGGGAGCTTCTGACCTCCAGTCTGGGACCTGCCAGGGGGCTCTGCCTTCTAAAGAGACTCCAGAGAAGCTGCTGCTGCGCCCCTGGCTAAGAATGCAAAAAAGGAGGGGCCAGCTTTCTCTGAGGCCCTCGTCCCATCCCAGCCACCTCTCCCTCCAGAGAAGCACTTAGGGGCTGGATCTCAAGGTCGCCACCAGCCACTGTGGCTTTTTAATCCCTTAATGCCTCTGCATTGTGAAATATACATAAATACAGGAAAGTATCTAAGACACCTAAGTGCAGTGCAAAGGATAATAACTATGGTTAAATAGTAAATGTTAAAATGAGTAATAAATATGAAACCAAAAATAATAACAGTGGTAATCAGCCGTATCCAGGTTGCCAACACCCACTCTGTCCATGCAGTCTGGGTGGCTACCTTGGATCTCTGAGTATTTCCACAAGTTTACAGAATCAGCCGATGTCAGGGGAAGAAGAAGTAAGGAGATCAATAGATGGGCTTACACTTCAAGGACAAGGGCAGAGCTGCCAACTCGCAGTGAGAGGAAATTCTCTCTCTTCCCTGGTTGGGAAACCAAGATCCTGCATGCCACAGAGCACAACCAGAAATGAATAAATAAATAGAAATGAAACCTTACGGGTGCAATAAAGGGACCCATCCTTGATTTATTCACACCCCGCCTCAACAAAGACTTGAAGGGCTTTACAAACAGATGAACTGCCAGCCAGGGAAGCAGAGGGGAAAGCACAAGGCCGAGCAGAGAAACAGGATGAAATCAGCACACAGATGGACCCGCCAGGAGATGCTACGGAGTGAGAGGCAGAAAACCCACTGGTTTTGAGCTTCCTGGTGGCCCAAGCGAAAATGGGAATGCAAGCAGCCTTTCGAAGACAGACACAAGCCAGCTGCCTAGGAATCGAGGGACTGAGTGTCTCCTCAGGCAGCGGGAGCCCCCACCCCCAGCCGCATCCCCGTGCGCAGTGCACTCACCCGGTGTGTGTTGTTGATGACGATGGGGTCGGGGTTGCCGTAGTTGGGCGGGTTTGCATAGGGGTCATAGCCGAGCCGGGCCAGCATAGGGGCAATCTGGGCCATGTCCCTCAACACATCCCCAGGGATGTGGCCAGTCCACTTGGAGAGGGCTTCCAGGTTCACGGGCTTGATGACCTGGTCTGTGGACCGTTCAATCCTGGGGAGAGAGGGCAGGCTGGATGGGGTGTGGGCAGACCCAGGTGGCGCTGGGGCAGCAGGGAAGGTGGCGGCGGGGGGGGGGGGGAACCTGGTACTTGGGACCCACTCGGCTCCCCTCCACTGTAAGAAGGTGGGCGAGTCATCTGGCCTCAGCACACCTGCTCTGTACACTGGGTTTAAGGGCACAGAGGGGAAAGCTGGCAGAAAAGTGTTAGGCAGTGCACACCATTTCAGTGGTGCTCAGATTCTGCTTCCTTGACCTCTTATGACTTTTTAAGAATGATTTTTTATTTACATGACTAAGATGGACTAAGATTTTGTTCTTGAGGAGTAATTATAAAACTCTAACAGTAAGGCCAAGAGTCCCTGTGCTCACCACTCCCGGTGCATCCACCGCCTGCAGGGACCCGACCATAGCATTCTGGAGGGCACCTCTTCCTTCAGTCTGTTTTCTGTGCTTTTAAAAGTAGAGTGGCCAGGGGGCCAGACTGCCTGGGGGCGGGTGCCAGCTGTGTGGCCTTGGCAGAGTGACTGAACCCCTCTGGGCCTCGGTGTCCTCACTTGTCAAATGGGAATCATTAATAGTACCTACCTTGCTGGGCTGTTCTGAGAAGTAAGTAGGTGAATAATGAAAGAGTATCGGGTACATTTTAAGGTCTCAGTGTTAGCATGCACTCTCTCTCTCTCCCACACGTATATACATAGAAAATCTATGGTTTTGCTTGCAGGTTTAAAAGCAGAACTTGTATGCTATATATAGAGGTGCTTTGTAGGGTTTTCTTTTTTTCCACTCACTCAATACCTCCTTCTTTTTCCATTCCCCGAAAGGTGGACCTGTAGGTTGTTTTCAGTTTGCTGTTAGGATGAAAATGCCATCATCTTACAGTGCTTTCTCTGTCTCCTAGATAACAGGGTTATCACCTCATCCGATCATGATGGTCTTACTGATTATAGCTCAGGGGCTTCACAAGATGGACGGTGGGGAAGGATCGAGGACCTACTTCTAGATGCTTCCATCCCAACCAAGAGATAACTTGGGAACGAAGAACAGTACAAAAAGATGGAGCAAAAGGAACTGGGATGGGGGGGGAGGGGCGCTGGGGAGGGAAGCACTGTGGGCTGACTGGGGGCGGGGGTGTGGAGCTGGAGGCTGCAGACCCAGATTGAAGTCTCAACTCTAGCCAGGCTGTCAAAGATCTCAAACACCATATAAACATCTCTGCCGCAAGCAGTCTCGCCCCATGACGATCACCCACAAGGCTGTTTTGCCATAAAAGATAAAATCACATGCTGATAGTTACACGACAAGAGAAAATGACAACGTATTAGTTTCTGCAGGTCCTTCCTTGGGTGAGCTAATCTAAGCCAGATTCCGTTATAATTTTCACCGTGTTCAAGACACATCAGCAATCAAGTAGCCATCCCTTTTGGGGGGATAGAAGGAGCTTGATTCTTCTTTTGCCTCTCTCTCTTTTTTTCTAATTGAAGTATAGTTGATTTACAACGTCGTGTTAGTTTCTGGCATACAGCAAAGTGATTCACTTATATGTGTATGTTATATAATATTCTTTTTCATATTCTTTTACTATGGTTTATTACAGGATATTGAATATAGTTCCCTGTGCTATACAGTAGGTCCCTGTTGCTTATTTTATATATAGTAGCCTGTTTCTGCTAATGCCAAACTCTTAATTTATCCCTCCCGTTTCCCCTTTGGTAATCAGGCTTATTTTCTATGACTGTGAGTCTGTTTCTGTTTCCCAGGTTCATCTGTGTCAAAGTTTAGATTCCACATACATGTGATATCCTACGATATTTGTCTTTCTCTGTCTGACTTACTTCACTTACTGTGATCATATCTAGGTCTAACTAGGTTGATGCAAATGGCATCATTTCATTTTTTTATGGCTGAGTAGTATTCCACTGTATACAAGTGCCACATCTTTTTCATCCATACATCTATTGACGGACACTTAAGTTGCCTCCACGTCTTGGCTACTGTGAACGTGGCCCCCAGTGTCCAATACTATGATAAATCTGGTAAAGATGGCAGGAGGAAGCAAACCACTGTATCTAAACTAGCTAAAGACCTATCGTTAACGCTCTCAAAGGCTGCTGTGAATCAGCAGCTGCCGCTTTCCTATGAGCCACGGCTGCTCGGTACCTTTTGGTTTTGACAGGTGGGAGGGATGACTGCTCAAGAGGATTTGCAGAAACTGATATGTTATCATTTCCTAGTATAATGAAACCAAAACTGTCAATCAACCAGTTATTTCATCTTTTACAGCAAAATACTTGCTGCAGAGATGTTTATGGCAAAGAAACCCAAGCTGACCAAACATGCGTCTGGCCTCTGCCACAACCCTCGTGTCTCCAGGACTTTAAGGGACAATCACATAGACGCATCCCAGAACAGGGATGGGAGCCATGCTTAACATGAGTCAGTAAGCGAAGTGTCCCAGAATGGGAGATGTTAAACAGAATCTGGTGATTTTGTGGTGGAATATTATACAGCCATTCAAAGCGATGCTGCTGCGGAGTGCTGGGGGCTCATGGCCAAGCGCCCCAGACACAAGGTGAAAAAAGCCTACAGAGGAACCTGCCGAGCAGGACTCTGGTTTTACTCCCTGACCAAGGACCAGCAGGCCACAGATCAAAATCTGGGGTGGAGGGGTGGGGGGATGGATTATGGGTGGTTTTTCCTTTCCTGTTTTATGTATGTTCCCAACTTCCTGCCTTCAGGATGTGTTCCTTTGGTCATCTGATGTTGTGTCAGGATGATGTACAAAATCCCAGCTCCAGCACCAGCTGGCCAGGGTATCCAGTCCGTGGGCACTTCGCTGCCAGGAAGAGAGCTGCTGAGCTCTGCTCAGGGCTCCAGAGCTCCTGGGGACAGGGCTTGGGAGGGCCCAGAAGTTAGAGAAACAGGAGGCGTCGTCCCAGGAAGAACGGCTCTTCCACTGGGCTTTTAGGGATGCTTGCACCTGAGCAGGATGGAGGCATGGGAGTGGCACACTCTGGCCCTGCCCTGTTCCAGGGTCTCAGGAGACAGAAGAGGGTCCCAGTCACAGAGAGCTTGAGAGAACAGGCCCTGGAGTCCAACAGGTGTGACTCTGAACCCTGGCACCACCTCTTGCTAGGCCAGTAACTTTCCTGAGATTCCGCTTCTTGATCTATAAAATGCAGTTAAGAGCAGTTCCTATGTCTGAGTTTGCTGTGAAGATGAGGGCAATAATGATGGTTGGGGGCTTAACTCAGTGCTGGCCACACAGCAGGCACTCAACAAGAGAGCAAAGGCGAGGCCAGTGGGGATGCCACAAAAGCGAGATCAACACTAAAATGAAGATAATGGGGATAACAGCACCCAGGAGGCACCACCCCATCTGACGTTCACACGTCACAAGTGGACGGATTCTGTCTGCCCCCACCACCGACGAGGAAGCGGAAGCACAGAGGTTGAATCCCCTGCTCAAGGTCACACAGCTAAAAAGGCTTGAACCCAGACGGCCCGGTCCCAGAATCTGTCCTCTCAACCTTTACCGACAATAGCTGACTATGCAAAGCCCATGGACATGGGGAGGAGGGACTGCCCCCTTTTGGAGGAGGGATAATAAAACTGAGGTTTCAGAGAGGACCAGCAACTTGCTCAATGCAACAGAGCTACCGGGAGGGAGATGGGGTTCAAAGCTCTGCTCTTAACCACTGGTCGTCTCACATCTCTGTTACAACAGAGAAGGCTCAGAGAGGCATAGCGACCAGCCCCAGGCCACACAGCAGAAGGCAGGGGCTCCACTCACTTGGACAGAGAGACGCCGCCCGGCTTGCCGATGAGGTCCTCATGGTGGAGGACAGCGTCACTCCAGGCGATGCCCAGGAAGTCGAGGATGAGCTTGAGGGAGCGCCGGGGGTGCAGCACCAGCTGCTCGTAGTACACGGGCAGGCACTTGTCCTTGCCCACCTCCATGCACTGCGCGTACATCACCTCGATGGCCTTGTTCCACTTGGTGAGGCAGTCGCGGTAGCTGCTGAGGTCGAAGCCAGCGATGGTGACCTTGCGGGTGATCATGGAGTGCACGGAGGCCCGGCCGTCGCGCACCATGAGCAGGAACTTGGAGTTGGGGAAGAGGCGCGACAGGTAGACGGAAGACTTGAGCGTGAAGGGGTCCTTGTTGCAGAGGACGCGGGCCGGCTCCCCGTGCTTGGCGATCACCTCCAGGATGAAGGCCTGCATGGCGGCGTCCAGCACCTCGTCCGTCACGCCCGCCTCGTCCAGCCGCAGCTTCTCCCGGCCCGACTTGGACCAGGCCTGGCGCATGGCCAGCACGCGCGGGATGATACGGGTCTCCTCGCCGCAGCGCACCTCGGGGTGCGCGTCCAGCATGGCCCGCATCAGCGTGGTGCCGCTCCGGGGCACGCCCCCGACGAAGATGAGCGGCATGGCCTTGCCGTAGCGGTACTCCACGTGGTCCGCGCCCACCATCACCAGGTCCTCCTGCTCGGGCCGCATGGTCCGCCGGGGTCCCCGCGGGCCCCCCAGCACCGCCCGGCACTCCAGCACCCGCTGCCCCAGGTGGACAGCCAGCACCAGGGCCAGGGCCAGGCCGGCTGCCAGCAGCGCCCTCCGCACGGACAGGCGCATGCTGGGCCCGGGGCGGGGGGCGCGCTTCAGGGGCAGGCGGGCGGGAGCCGCGCGGCGCTCACATCTGCGGAGACAGAGGGACACGGGGGGCTGGGGGCGGTCAGGGAGGCCGGCGGAGTGCCGGCGCTTCGCCATCCAGACCCCGACAACAGCCCGCGCGAGGATGCCGACACCCACAGCAGGACAGTTTGATGAGCCCGGCGCTGCGCGGGGCAGGCCCTCCCTCTTAACTCCCGAGATCCAACAACCCTCAGGGGAGTCTCTATTATTACCCCCACCCAAGCCCTGGGTTCAAATCCCTCCTCCCCACTTCCTAGCTGGGGGACCCTGCCCAGTCCCGGTAACCATTCAAGGGCCTCAGTTTCCCCATCTGATAAACGGCAAGTGAGTGACAGTCGCTGGGTCCTACCGGACTCTTTGCGACCCCACCTACTATAGCCTGGCAGGTTCCTCTGTCCATGGGATTCTCCGGGCAAGAACAAATGGAAAGAGGAATCATTCTTTTACAAATGGACTTTCTTGAAAGACATTTACGTGAAATTCTTCAAAATGTGAAAATAATATAAGCACTAGCATATCACATTTCAGGAGCACAGTCATTTGATAAGGAAGATTCCGGGTTTTGCCTGTTTTTACTCACAGCTGTCTTCTCAGCCCCCAGCACAGTGCCTGGCTCCTAGTGGGTGCCCAGTAAATATTTATGGAACGTGCCTGGGTGGAATGAGCGGGGCCGGGGTAGAGTGAGTGCTAGGAAGTGATATCAGTAGAGACAGGAGGAAGCCAAGGTACGGAGGGGTCATTTACAGTCACCCGGCTGGGAAGCGGCCAAGCTGCGGTCCATGATCGGGACCCAGGGCAGGGGTTAGGAGCCGGGTCTGTGTCTGCCCTGAGCAACCGTGTCTGCCTGTGCAGGAGATGCTTTTCAGAAGCTGCAAAATATCCTGGGGCCTGGGCTTCTTCCAGAATCGCTGTCCATTCATTCAGCCTTCCCTCAGTCAATGCTTAGGAAACAATGAAAGGTGCCAGGCTAGAGGCTGGAGACAGGACAGTGGACGAGAAGGGAGGGCCTCTGGCCTCAAAGGGCCTATGTCCTAGCTGTGGATGAAGATGATTCACAAGCTCCGGCCAGACTATGATACCGGCTTGCAAGGAAGTGAGCTGGACACCATGAGAGGGATCAAGAATGGGCAGGAGGAGGGAGATCAAGGAGGACTTCTTGGAGGAGGTGACATTCAAGCCGAGACCCAGATGAGCAGCTGGCTATGTGAAGATGTGGGAGTGGGGGGGGGGGGGTAAACTACAGGCAGAGGGAACAGAGAGAGCAAAACTCCAGGATGGGGGAGGATTTAGGGTGCTCAAGAACCTATGAGAGGAGGCTGCTGGGGCCGGAGGGGAGGGAGGGAGGAGATGGGGAAGGAG